TAATATTGAAGTGTCAGCTTTGCAATTTGACATTGTTGAGCAGTAGTAATTGCCCGAAATTTATGCCAGCTATTCAATAGAGAGCTGTCGCTAGAAGTCAGAGAAATATATTCTAGAAAAATATTCCCAAAGGTCAGCCACATGTTTAAGGTATCGAGGTGCCCTCCTTAGCCAGTTTCCAGCAGCTATGCTTTTGCTTGTACCGTTATTTGAGACACAGGGTCACATCTAAGATCACTTGTCGCTTCTATAGCGTTGTCGTCAGGCGCACGTAGGTGTGCACCAGCACTGCGAAGCGCGCAGGCTGCTCGAAACTGTCTTTCGATCCCACCTGAAGTGAGGGAGGACGAGCTTAGAGTTTGAGGATGACAGCACCTTAGCTTCAAGTTTCGTGGTGATGATGTTTTGCGTCAGCCTTAGACATCCGCAGCCATCCATGGGTTTGTTTTGTTTACGGTCTCAAGTTATCTCTTCTGCCGCAAGTGCGTAGCTACTGACCTTTGTACACAATCTCAGAGCAACTCTGGTTACATGCGAGGTCCACATGTCGCTGGGGCACGGTGTGCTGGCATCGGTTGTAAAGCTTCTCCTCTCAAGTAGGCCACCGAAGCACATCTTGACCCTGACTACCGAGCAGCGCAAAACGTTGTATAACTATGCACGATATTGTTTTTTTATATTACAATGTGCGAAAGTCTAAGAAATATGCTTTATTACACATATTGGAACACCAACCTAAGCGTGAGGTGCCTCATGGAAAGAGGTGACAGTAGACGAAATAGCAAAGTTCATTGCACACCTGATTTATAGAGGGATCATTCACATCATGGTCATCCATCTGTATTGTAACACCTGCAGGCTCGTACTGCAGGAAAACAAACATTTACTGAGAAAAGTGTTTGAGTTGACTAGTGTCTTGCAAAAAACCAGGCAATGCTTTACCACACGGGATGAGCAATCGAGCAGCACCTCAGTTCTGATTTTCTTTGTCTATGTAAATAGAAAAATTTTGTACAATATTTATTATTATTTTATACTTTTCCTGGGTCAGTATTCTTCAAAATGCATATTCTGAATTTCTTTGTTTTGAATATTTCTGCACATATAGTGTTTTTTATTGGCGCTGTTTACTAGCTGGCAACCAAAAATTTCACAATTTTTACATTTTTATTCATTCCAAAATATTTTGTTGCTCTACAACATATATATTTCGGAAAGAACATTTTATTGGCGAAATTCAGTACGCTGCAATGCATGCTCGAGTGCTTTTCAAACTGGAAAAAACTATCTTCCCGAGCGAAAAAAAAAAAAAACATTTTCACAAGGTAATGAAGAAGTTAAGCTGGCATATGTGTGAGAAGGCATAATTAGTATAAAAGTGAGCCGACATAAGGCTGACAGTAATATTGAAGCTGAGCAGGCGGGAGGAGAGATCGGCAAAACTATGTGGAGCTCGTTTAGATTCACTCATGAAATATACCTTGCCCTTACGGTTCATTTCAACTCACGCTCACCAATGTTTTCCTCAATTGGACTTACTGCGACTCAGCCTCGCCAAAAAATTACTCGCTTGAACTCAGACTCGCACACACAGCTCGATCCAAGTCTGAGTGTGTTGATTCATGATTGAGTTTTCTGACCTATGCCTCCATTTCCCCGATAGAAGCACGATTTCCTTTTTTTTATTTTTAAATAAATAACAAAATCATAGACCGGCAATTGGATTAAGCTAAAACAAATGGTTAGGTGAATTTGTTCATACTTAAGATAAAATGGTACTGAAGATAAAGAGGTGCAATAGAGTGGACACAGAGAAAGAATCACAGAGACAGCTCTATATCTGCGAGTCTTTCTCTGTGTCCTGTCTTTTCTGGGCAGTTTTATCTTTTTTAAATCGTATTCATACTTCATTGCCAATGGCATCAATCTAAGCATCAATCTGGTAGATGAAAGGAGATCATTTACTCTGCATTTTGAAGCAAAACATAATAAATATTTGCAACAAGTAAGAACTGACCCATATCGCAGTGGTTCTGAAAGAGGGGGGGTCCATGAAGCCATTTTAGGATGTCTGCAAAAATCATACCTAAATAGAGGATTGGTTTAGCAGACCATCTACAAAAGACATGGGCATACATTTTCTAGGAATGTATATTTGAAGAGAAAACATGCCTATAAACAGGATGAATGTGGCTGTAGACCGTACAAGTTATTAACAAGTTGTTGAGAGTTCATTGGCACAGCACTTTAGTTTGGCTGTTTTTTGCTGGACATAAATAAAAGGCACTTATGTCGTGCTGCATGTTGTGCTAACTTATGCGCCCTCCCCCAACATCACTGCAAGCAGTCCCCTATCACTCCCACCGATCCACACGGGGTCCCAAGACATCCACAGCTGAGAACCACAGCTATAGCGTTTCAAAAAGCTCTTTGCCCTACAGTTCCTTTTGAAATGGGCAGCTGGTTTCACTTTTTCACTTCCATTTCTGGCCTTTAAAGGATTTCAGATTCTGTAGTTACTTTTAATGAGTTCAAATGTGACATTTAAAAGTTAAATTTTAAGGGGGGACAAGTGCAAAAATTAAGGGACACCAAAGCTTCACCTTTAGGAGTTGAATGAGATAGTGACATCCTGTTCCTAGTTCGTACTTCAAACAATTAGTACATGAAACCTTTTCGAATTTGCTATGCACCCACTATATGTGGCCTTAAGGGGGCAGAGTGGTCTTTGGGACTAAAAAGTGGCAAAAAAATCATTTTTTAAAATTGACATGTTTTGTTTCTACAAATATTTTTCTATATCTCTGCAAATTTTCACACACCAGGAAGTAGTAATTTTTTTGTAATGTCTTTCTAACTGTCCAGATTATTAGTGCTGTTGACATGCAGAACCTGCAAAAAAATGGGGAACAGACTTTGAGGCTTCTTTATGATTTGCTAGCAGCTGTGTCTAAAGCTCTACTACCAATTTATGAGCGCCTTTATGAAGATGCAAAACATGCGCACCATGATTAGTGCTTTTGATAAAACTGTGTTTTCAGTTTTTTACATTTTTCTCAAAAAAGTAAATTTACGGCTGTTAATTTTTGAGGCCTCAATATCTCTGCAGCTAGGGCAGGTACAACAATAATTCTTTTTGCTGTGAAAACCTGTATGTGTGTAGAATGCAAGTACGGGTGCAGAATTCAGAGCACAGGCCTTTTAAATTAATCACGAATAAAAATTGTAACACAATTTCAACTGCTTTTGAAAATAGATAGTTCGTTTTGCTGTAAAATAACCAACAAAGGCATAAAAAAAAAACTTGCATACTTTCACTCTATAGTCATTAGTCTATATTCGCATATCTTAAATATCACTTTTAGTTGGGCACTTTTTTTTCTATGGCAGCCTTAAACAATGGGGGGTGAACCTGAGTTTGTCTCAGGAACAAGATAAGTTATAGGAAGACTAATTAAATATTTGAGATCAGCAGAAAAACCTGCATAAGCCAGTGCAGTTTGATCAAGATCACTGAAGAAATAAGTAAAAATGTCTAAGACCAGTCTGCCCCCTTAAGGAAATAGGTGCAGTAGCGGGTGTGCCTTTTGTAGTAGGGTACTGGTTTTGAACCATGGAGCCATTATGATAATCACATTCTGATGCCCGTAGGCAATGGACGCTTCTAGCATGCATTATTATTGCAATATTTCATGTTGCGTTGTGAAGGATGTATATAGAATGTGTGTGTTGGTGAAGCATGAAAGCTATTTTCACTGTATTTCCAAGCAGAGCAAGATCTTTTCACTGTTTTCACAAGCAGAGGTGTGGCCATGTGGTAGAACATCCACTTGCCATGCAAACAGCCCGGATTCGATCACCGCTCGGACCTTAACAACCCTGGTTCGATTCCTACTCTGATTGAGAATTTTTTATCATTCATTCATTTTATTTCCATAATTCTCAATTTTTTGGTCACACATAAGATCATTATTTTTCGCTTACAAACAACGACACCGACACCAGAGTTTCTGCCAAACGAGTTTTTTAACGTATGTTAAAAGATGTCCCCTCCTGCCTGAACACAAGACCCCCCCCCCCTGACCACCTCATTACTGGAAAGAAGTTTGTTGTATACAGTTGAAACTAGATTTATTAGTCAAGAGTCTTAACAGAACCCCGTGTGGTCGGGGACAAACATAGTGAAAAATAGCAAAAACGCCGACTAAGCTAAAACAAACAAAAATTTTTAAAAAGACGTTTCGGCTCTCTACGGGGCACATGCCCAAATTATTTTGATAAGTTGGGAAGTTCATTAAAATGTGAAAAAGAATTCTGGTTCCTCCAAAATCTAAAATTGTAACATAGCGGTACCCAAAAGCTACCACGCGAGTACCCATGCCTACGAGTGTAAGAAGACAGAACGGGGCACGATAGCAATCTGGATAACGAGCCTGTTACGTCACCTGGACGTCTGGACACCATGTCCGGGTAATGCGGGCCACATAGATGGTCTTGCCAAGCTATCACAAACTATGGACACGTGAAGCATCAAGGAATGAGAAGAAACAAGACAACCGAGAACCACTAACATCTAATTTGTAACTAAAGAGACCTGCAAATTGTATAAACTAAGTGTTGCGTTTCACTGCACCTTTCACACCAAAGTTCAAGTCCCAAGTATACAAGAAGTTCAGTAAGACTCATTTAATTTTAATTCATGAGTTGAAATAAACATAAGCCTGTACAAAATAAACTAAAGAACCTAATTAGGACCTGAACACTAAACCACTTTCAAACAATCACTATTATTTCATGCAGCAATGGATTCGTAATTTGGTGCCTTATCACAGTACCTTGAAGCTGCACACTGACCGAGAAAAGAACATTCCTATGACTCGGTCTCGCTTAAATTGGCCCCTATACAAAGACCAATTCTCAGTCAACAAATTGCCAATGGAGGTATCACTACAGACGGAACCTTTGAAGCATTATGGCGTTGCATAATGAAACTTGTGTACCTTCACTGCAGTGTTTGAGCCGACATGGTCTGCGCACAGAAGTAATTTGTGGAGGAGCCAGGTAACGGTGCAATAGCCGCGTGCCAAAGACCAATGTGTGCCCTGGCTCAGACCACGAATCCTTCATACTCTGTATAAAGCTCTTCGCTTTACTGGGAGGAATGTCTCTGCTTTGCTCCCCTTGAGGATCCACTCTGCGCTTACGCTTGATTGGCTGCGAAAAGAAAAAAAAGAAGAAATGCATGCCATTATTTCAGACAGGAATAATGAGCCCTTTCGGGTAATTTAATAGTATAATTTTGATAAACAACTCCCATTATTATAATAAAGTTTTATTGACTCAATGCAAACAAACTATCAGGTAATTTAATAATAAGGTGAGCACAAACTGAGGGCAGTTCATTGATAAATTGAAATGAATAGAACAAGAGCTTTCTACTTGCACACATAACAAGTACAGTACAGTTAACTGTTAGAGAAAACCATCGAGCTCGTCTTCAGCAGGCCTCGCCACGTTAACTGGCTGTGAGAATTCTAAATTCGTCACATGCTCAGTTTTGGCCTCTATTTCTTCACCTGTGTGCATAAAAGCATCGGGAAGAGCTCAAGTATTTTTGTGGTGCGATTTAGCTTTCTGTCACTCTGCCTGCTGCTTGTCCAATTTCTAGCAGGCACAAGAAATGTGTGGTTTTATTTATTGCTGCATTTTTTCGCAAGCTATCCCCATTAAGCCCGTCATATTTTTCGCATACTGCTCGCTGCAACTGGCCGCTTTTGATAACAAATAACGCTACTGAAGTCTGATGCAGCGAGCATTCTAAGCTTGCCTTTGCAACCATAAAATATTGGCTTATTAAAGAAGCAGAAGGCTAAGCTGGTATCGGTTGACTTACAGTGTGAAAACGAAAAGTGAGAAAGGTCATGGATTGCTACTGCACACCGAGTTCATAAGCAGAGAAATAGCAGACGATGCAGGGCACACACTCGCTTGATGAACCAATGCATACGCGCCTTATTTTGAAATCTCACCAGCAGTTAACACTCCGTGAACTGTCAGCTACGCACTCGCGTGTTTCCTCCAACAGTGGGCTGTACTGAGCATGCACAAAATATAAAAGGATGTCACCTAAATGCAAAGTAAACTTGCTACACTTGCTATTCAAGCATTTATGAAAATTGTAACAAGCATGTTGTTTCTTCACAATAAGGTATGCAAATACATACAATCAATGAAGCAGCATTATGCTCTGTCAACTTATGTGGCCAATAATTGAAAGGCTCTCTTCTAATAGCAAAGAGCTTTCATGTATGCTTTCAAATCAAACTGGAATCGTGAGGCACATAAGCAGTATCAGAAAGATCGGGTGACTTCTCCAAAACTGTACATGATTAGGATATCTTCTGTCTTCTGTCATTGATTTTATCTTCAATACCTATAGACTCAGTGCACTGAGACTGGTGCACCGCCTCGCGGCCGTCAGAGAAGACAAACGTTGAGAGCCCGAGCAGAACGAAACACTCCGTCAACGTTCGCTAGCACGTAGTTTATCTGAATCATGAACTGCTACATAGTCGATTGTACCAACAGGCACACGTCGTGCCCTGCGGGAACAAAGTTTCAGAGTTTCTCGACTTGTTCCTGCTTTATTGGGCAGCGAAATTAGTGGATCACGGCTGTGGGACATAAAAAGTGTTTAGTTCCCATTTTTTTCTGCTGTGTCGCATTCTGCCGATGCGTGCTTGAATTGGTCTGAGACACCCTCTACAGGTGCGATGATCTTGCATGATGTTCTTGCTGTCATGGAGCTGGTAAGAAAAGAAACGCATGCAAGAAATTTTATTTCAGATCAAGGCTGATGGGACGTTTTAATGGACCTTAATAATTACTATCTAGCCATGTACTGTTTGCAGTTTTGAGAAATGCAATGCGAGGTAAATTAGTGCTTTTCTGAGTTGATGGGTCTATCAGTGAAGGCCCGAACTCAGTTACGTAGCATTTTACTGTAAACACAAGTAGCCACCCAGCAGCGTAGGCGCACTCGATAGGATCAAGCTAGTACGTCAGTTGATTGGTTGGTTCTTATTAAACTGGCGCAAGGCACCATGGGAGATCGGCCATGAAATGGGCGGTGCCTTGTTATATAAATGATTTTGTTTGTAAATCTCGAAATCTTTAGCAATAGATTATTTCCTCAATAACTTATTGGCTTAATTCACAAAAAAAAGTGCAATGTCGTTGAAGAATAGATTTCACTTACATAATCTTACAATTCAATTTGTTTCGTCTCGCGTAGCAAATCCCATATGCCATCCCAGACCCTCCTGTGTTTAAAGCCAAGTGCTGTAGCTCCAAAGGAAATAACCGCCGGAAGTAATAAATTGAATCTCATCTTTCGTATTTGATTCATTCAAAAGCCTTTTTTTTTACTGTTAAACAATGTGCATGTTAGGAAAAAATGGTGCAGGGCGCAGAGTATAGCAGAACGATACATGGTAAGAAACGATGCTTTGCGAATGCTGTAGCGACGGATGTGCATGTCGGTGTTTGTTTCGAAAAGCAACATAAACAACGCTAGAGGTTATAGTGAATGAGGGACCATGACGGTGGACGAAGTGACTGTGCCGTCGTCGTCAGCATTCTACAAGGTGAAGCAAAAGACGGAACAGGGCATGCACTGTCCTCTCTGTACTAAATCTCGCGTTCTCTTTCTCGCCCGCGCCTCAAGCTGCCCGAGCGGCAATGTAAAGACTATGATCACGATGAGCGACGATGATGCCACGACAATTTCAAGCAAAGCACTGCGCAAGACTCTGTGGCTGAAAATCGCCGTGGCACGACGCCGCAATAAACAAGCACGCCAGTTTCCTTGGCGAGTGGCCGTGGAGCCATCGATATTTCTAAACGCTCCAAGTATTTTGCAAGTACGTGGGCAGTGGGCAAGCGCTGATAAGAATACAAGTTTGAAAGAATGACAGCTTGCCGTGATAGTTATGCAGCAAACCTCATGCATTACGCACACCTGACACACGCGTTTAGCCGTCATTCCTGGCGACAGACAGCAAAGCGCTCACTAACCAAAAAATGTGGCCGCTTTCGTGAAGGTTCTTCCATTTATTCATGGTGGCATTGCGGAAGATTGCCCCCCTGTGATAACTTCAAATTCTGCTCGAAGCACGCATTAACCCGCCGGCCACGGGCGCTTGTGCCACCATAGCTTTCAAAGCAGTTAGGTGCTGCTGTCTGCTACGACTCTCAACGTTGCGCGCCCGCCACACCACAAGTGGCCCTGCACACGCCTTTCAAGGCGCCCACAATAGGTTCTGCACGGACCGATTGATATGTGGGGTTTAACGTCCCAAAACCATCATATGATTATGAGAGACGCTGTAGTGGGGGGCTCTGGAAATTTCGACCACCTGGGGTAATTTAGCGTGCACCCAAATCTGAGTGCACGGGCCTACAACATTTCCGCCTCCATCGGAAATGCAGCCGCCGCAGCCGGGATTCGATCCCGCGACCTGCGGGTCAGCAGCCGAGTACCTTAGCCACTAGACGATCGCGGCGGGGCTTCCGCACGGAGTGTATAGGCTCCGCCAACGCCTCCTCTATTTGGATGCCTGCCGCGTGAGAACAAGAACAGCTGCCACACCCTTTCCCTCCTTCGCTTTTTAATTACTCTCAGTCTTTAGCGTCACTTGTGGCGGACGGTGCAACAACTCGACATTTTACATAGCCTCCGAAGTATTCGTGTATAGTTGCAGATCTGTGAAAAATGCCATGATAATAGTGTCGGTCACGAGCGCCACTGCGCAGCGCTTGCTCAAAACTGAAGGCAGGGCGACTCCGCTGACAACACAAGCCATTCATCAGGCATCTTAAATAAAGGAGGCGTTGGCTCCACATGACACAAAGGTCGATTAAATAAAACAAAAACAGCTTCAGCAGTGCAGCAATTATTGCCTAAATTTTTTTTTCAACACATGCATTGGAGGCTGTGTCCGGCACTCAATCCAGATTTGGTGAAATGCTGCGGGTAATGTTTCATCCAAAAGGGATCGAAATGAAATGTGTAACATTCCGTCCAGTGTGGTGTCACTTGCTGTAAGCTCCTCCACAGAACATACTATTTTGTCTGAATCTCGTGGCACGCTGCCGAAGCTCGTGATTGTGACAGCTGAACTGTCCTAGGTTTGATCTTCGCTTTGATATTTAAGTTATAATGAACATTTGTATATATTATAGTCGTATATTGACAAACCCTGAAAATGGTTTAGGGAAAACAGTGGTCGCGGTTAGACACAAAACATTCTCGGACAAATCCGAAGTGTTTGATGGCCAGAATTTAAATCCCGTCTAGATCCGTCCTTGACCCGCATATTTAAATCAACGATGAACCAACAGAGACCTATCAATAGCCATTGTGCATGCTATATGCGTCGTCAAAGGGTGCACTGTATTTTAACAGCACATGGGTCGTGAAACGAATGCGACCAAGAAGTACAGTACGGTCCACTGTTAAGGGGAACACGCTAACGCGCGGCCGCCGATCTGGAGGACACTATCGGCTGGCGAGATTTGGAAACGCGGAGCATGCGCACTCAATCGCAAGGGCGGCTCATGCCCTGCGTCGTCTGCTACATCCTCACCCAAGCGCTCGGCACGCGCTAATGCCGTGCTACGTTTCATGGTTGGAAGGAAAAGCTGGCTATGCTCGTTGCATTAAACACTAAGTTTCTTGTCTGTTATCAAATGTAGCCGGCAGGTTCAAGTACTTGCGCAACGCTTGCAACTAACATTTTGGTGAGCATGATAATATGTGGAGTTTAACGTCCCAAAACCACTATGTGATTATGAGAGGCGCCTTTGGTGAGCATTGACACCAGGTTACGCAAGTGATGGGCTTTGTTATCGCTTGCACAGAATTGCACAGCTGGGGCGTGATTATTCCCTGAACAAATTTTTGATGGCACCAGCTCTTGGATGTGGCATGCCCAGGGTACCTCAAAATAAAAGGCTTCCACAGCCGAGCTCTACACTAAAAAATGTCGTCAGTGTGCCGCCGGTGCCATGGTGAACAGGTCACTGAAGACTGTTAACAGGTTTATCCAGGCTTTAAGGATTGTAAAGAAAATTGAGGATGCCCCTCGGAGACCAAGGTCATGAGTGACTGCTTGGGAAAAAGATGTGTATATTGTCGCCTGCATAGCTGACAACCCACAAGCTTCATTTAATGAAAAACGGCAATGCTTTCAACTGACTGCAAACGTCCTTGGACCACTTGTACGCGTGTATACAAGAGGCCTTCACAACAGAAAAATAGAATATTCTGAACAAAGTCGGCTTTCCACACATCACCAGTCGCATGACACCGCAGCGTGACGGCATTTGCTAGCACGATACTCGCCGGTTCACACTGCGAAAAGGTGGACCAACTACTACAGCAGCGCAGAGTGACTGCCCCCTCCCCCCAACCTCTGTGTCCTAACTTGAACGCAATTGAAGACGTGTGGCACAGAATCAAATCATCTCTCTTCCGCCTAGTCTACGCGCGAAACCTGCGGATGACCTCTGCACTAGTGTAAACTAGGAATGGCAGTAGCTTAAGCGTGGGCGTGAATCGCATAGAAGGGTTCAGAAACCCCAGCAAGAAACAAGTTGCACCTTTTTTGTACCTGCTGATTACTTAGCACGGCGCCGGCAGAGCGGCATGATTCGCGCCGCGGAACAACGAAAGCGCTCGGCAAGCGAAGAGGCGAAGAGTAGCAGACGAAACCCGAGAAGCGCCGCCTTTGCGCTTTTATGCGCGTGCGCGACATTTACAAATCTCGCCACTAGTTCGCACCACGCGAACCACTGGCCGCGCCTTTGCGTGTTGCCCCTAACAGTGGACCGTACTGTACACTCGACGCAAACTCCGACGTTTTGCGGGAGAACTTATCGCAGGCGGGAACATTGCGCTGAACAGACGCTAGTCATTCCGTTATAATTCTGCCTAGACAGAGCGTAATACACAGCAATTTGTTCTATCAAGACGGCGAATTTAGCACTCATTAACATTCCTTCATGACAAAACGCTACCTGATTCACTTTGTTCCATTTAAACAGCACTCTGTTGTTCCGCACGCACGGCAGTTTTTTACGTAGGACTGCACACTCAATCATATTTTTTTTATATTAGGCGTGACAACAGCAAACAGAACATTGCCCACGAGGGCAGCACTGCAACGTTATCTTTAAAACAGAAAATCAATGCCTTCCCCCAGAACAAGGTAATCAGAAGATTGTTACCTCAAAGTTGTACACGACTCGGCTTCGTTTATTCTTCAGGCGTTTCGCAGTGGCATTCCAAAGGGAGCAAACTTGGGCGCAGACACCTAGCTCGCGAGAGCTCAAAAAGCTGAGTATGAGTTCAGATATTTCGGCGGAAGTACGCAGCAAGTTTCCGAATGTTGAATTACTGTAGGATTTCACCGCTTCCGTTCCAGAGTCTGCTGAAAACCCAGCTTCAGGCTCCATGACCCCGCTTGCCGTCTCGCCACAGGGTCTCGCGCGTCTTGCAGTGTCACGCTCCGACAGCGCGATACATCAAACGGAAGTAGGGCCGCCAGACGAGCGAATGTTTATCTTAAAATACGATATCTCATCGTTAAATATACAACTCAAATGAAAAATCCCGTGTATTTACTTTAAAAATGTTAAGGAAAGGTGACGCATAAGCGGCACGGTACGGATACGAAGCGGCATGACCGTGGCTAGTAGTGGCTGAGCCAGCTGGAGCGATTTTATACTCTTTTTTTCTACGCTATTCTATTTCGTACCTTTGATGTTTCGCATATAGCTAGCTATATTGACTTGGGGCAGTTAAAACAAGGTGATTAAAAGCATTGGTGTTCGCTGAGTTATATTTTTACTATTTAAGTTCTGTTCGGGAAGGAGCGTCGTGCGAGCAGACGACGCGGGCATACATGCTGTTACGAATTTTCTCTGTCGCGATGGTAGCGGTGGCGAAGAGCGGCGAGCCGTCGAGCGGACTTCGATGAAGCCCTAGCCCGAAGGTGAAACAGGGAGGCAATCCGTTTGGAAAACAGCAACAAAAGGAGCGTTTACTGTAGCAGGTTGTCGTTTGTACAGGGCCGGCCAGCACGACAACGTCGGCTGGGGCAAAATCCTCTAACATGGGGCCGGCTCGGCCTTAAATAGCGTCTTTGGTCCATTCTCTCAGACCAGTTCTCGGGCTCGGAGGGGGAGACGTAGCCATACCCGGAACTGCAAAGTGGTTCGGCGGAGGAAGCGACGTTATCCCCGGAACTGCACGGTTCTTCTGCGCGGAAGGCGGCGCTGGGAGGGGGGGAGACAATTCGTCGGAACAGGGCTCGATCTCGTCAGACGTGCTCCCGAACGAGGAACATGTCTGTGGCACAACAGCACCCCCGCCGCCAGACAATGCATCCGGAGTTTTGAGCCGTCAGCGCGGCTCGGAAGGAGGGATGCTGGTTGACCGTCGGTAGCCGTTCCGCTCTCTCCGCCCGTTGAGACTTCCATAGACCTGCAGAGGTTCACTGGAACGACGGAGTAGAACACAAAGCCGAACCACTCTGGCCAAAGCAAGCACCCTCCAAATGCTGATCAAGTCGCCAGACCAGCAGAAACCAAATGTTTCCTCGAGATTACGCTGGGCTAACAAATAGCATCACGAGCAACGAATCTCGGGAGGAATACATAATGTGGACACACCTTTAGCTAAGTGTCAGTGCATGACACCCCTAAACCAAACAGAATTTTTTTTTGCGATTCTCAATTGTGATTTAGACAGATTCTGGATGATCGAAGCTTCTGAGGATTGCTCAATTTAGCACCGAAACTACAATTTAGTACGCCGAGCAATCCTAAATCACGCACATTGGCGTCGCCTGCAAGCGTCATATTGTCAATTTAACAAAGTTCGTCCTCCTACAAGCTCTCTTTTCAATGCGCGCAGCCAATATGATCAAAACAAGATAAAACACGCTTGAAAAGGTAAGAAAATAACACTGAAAATCAAACTTGCGCACGTTAAACAAAACAAAGGGAAAAGTTGACCTACACTGACGCGCATAATGAATGTAAGGCCAAACAAAAAAGGTATATTTAAACAGGGGCTTTTACTTAGCCTTATCTGTTAAAATAAAACCCACTAACTGTTACTTTTGAAATATTACGAGAACAAAATTAATCAAACAAACCTGAATATCTGCTTCTCCGATGACAAGGAAAGTAAAACTTACAAAAAATTTAGACTCATTCCTTGCTCAACGGCTTACGAAAAAAGTAGAAAAACAATTTCTAAAGCTAATTACAATGTCTATTCATAGTAATGGCAAGACGGGGCCCCTCTCAGACGAACTCTGGGGAGTCGCGCACTCCATAGCTTTCGGGGGATCCGGTCTTGACAAAGGCACAACGAACAAAGCTGTTTGCCGAACTCGGTAGCAGCAACTTTTGACGTACAGCCGCTTAACTTGAACAAGAAGGCACCTGTACTGCCTCGTTTACGCCGCCCGTTCGACCAGCGACCCTTTCGCCATGGTGGAGAACAACCGCTCGTGTTACCGCTCAAGCGCTCCCAATGTTTCCCCACTTGCTTGCATCTACGCGGCAGTGAAAAGGATAAGACCAGGTGGGGATCTCGGCGTTCGAATTTTCCTGAAATTCGGTCTTTCTTCACGTGCTTCCCGCCTAATCTCGATCTCAGTGATGGTATGAGCCTCAAACATTTCCTATAGAGCCCTTTCGCGATCCTACGCCAAGCCCTGAACCTGGCGTATCGAATGAAGGCGTCACAGCACTTAACAGCTGCTTTAACATGTTTGATGCCTCTCGTCTCTTCCGCGCTACGCTTTTGCCGACGCTTTTTTCTCTTCGAATGGCTAGGAATGGTGGAAGCCCCGACACACTTATTCACAAGCGCACTGCTTTCGACAGGCTCTGCCAAAACTCTATACGGCTGAAGCAACTTATCTTTGTGGGGAGTCGAAGTTCCCAATTTGTTGGCTAGCGTTTCCTGGCGCCCGGTGCTAGCGGTCTCTGCCTGTGGCGTAACGGGAGGCCCGATTAATTTAAGGCTAACAAAGACGCTTACAGAGCTTTCAATCGGTGGGGGTCTATCGCTGTCGTGGATAGCCCTTTTTCTCTGGCCTTCGAAGTCAGATAGCTTTACTCTGTAGCGCTTTATGTCGCGCATCCTGCTCAAGCTCCTGTCGGCTGGCGTCAACCTCTTGCACTTTTCGGCGGGCGTCTACCTTTAGCGCCTTACCACCTGCTTCAGCGCTGTTACTATCGCTCCGACTTTCCCAGTCAGCAGGACTCGAAAGAAAAAAATACCTTATCAAGGCATATCTAGCATGGCTGAAGTCTCCTACTTCCTCGAAGGGTAAGCAATTCAAAACATGCGCAATCTTGCGCGGCAACAGCGTGGCAAGCTTCTCCACCCAAAGGTCGCGGCTAACACCAACATTACAGCAGACAACTTCAAAATCATCAAGAAAATGCGTGATGTTCTCGCCTGTCTGAAAGTTGTGGAGCTGGTGTTTCGCTCGCTCCCACTTAAGGGCTTGAATTTTATGATCAAGCTCTTTCATTCTGAGAGCATGCCCTCTTCTTTTTCTGCTCTCCTCGGCCTTCCATTGTTCATGCCTTTGAGCTTCTTCGGCCTTCTGCTGTTCCTCACAGATGAGCTCCCAAAACTCGTCAGCTTCCTCGGCCGTCACATTCTCTGCCCGCATCACCTCGAGAATCGCTTCCCTTGTTTTAGCGGGCCCGGCGGAAATCCCCATGGCTCCACAAATTTCAAGGAGGTCCTGCACCAGGTACTGCTCCATCGCGATCTCGTCCCTCGTGATGCTCTACTACTGATATTCACCGTACTCTAAAACTAATCTCGTGGTTTAAAGTAGGTGAATATTAAGTTATAACCAACAAAACAAAACAAGTCAAAACACTCTCCTAACATCTGCCTGTGCTAGAGAGGTCTGGCGAAGTGAACAGTAAATGTTGGGCACTCACCCAAGCAAAGTAGCCGACGATGGTCCAACTCGTGGCTGCCGTCGAACAGTGTCAGGCCTTCAGGGATCCGGTCCAACTTGCCAATGTTGAGATCCGGGGTTGCTTGTCCCAGCTTGCCGAACGATGATAGCAGGGGTAGCGTATCGCAGCGTAGCCAAACGCTATCACGCCGGTCGTCCTCGTGCTCGGAGATCCGATCCAACTTTTCAGCCGTTGAGATCGGGGTAGCGGGTCCCAGAGCAGCAAAACGTTGAGGACAGGGGTCTGATCCGGCGTGCCAAACGTAGGATATCGTATCCCGTAGCTGCCCACCACTTTTACGAATTTTCTCTGTCGCGATGGTAGCGGTGGCGAAGAGCGGCGAGCCGTCGAGCGGACTTCGATGAAGCCCTAGCCCGAAGGTGAAACAGGGAGGCAATCCGTTTGGAAAACAGCAACAAAAGGAGCGTTTACTGTAGCAGGTTGTCGTTTGTACAGGGCCGGCCAGCACGACAACGTCGGCTGGGGCAAAATCCTCTAACATGGGGCCGGCTCGGCCTTAAATAGCGTCTTTGGTCCATTCTCTCAGACCAGTTCTCGGGCTCGGAGGGGGAGACGTAGCCATACCCGGAACTGCAAAGTGGTTCGGCGGAGGAAGCGACGTTATCCCCGGAACTGCACGGTTCTTCTGCGCGGAAGGCGGCGCTGGGAGGGGGGGAGACAATTCGTCGGAACAGGGCTCGATCTCGTCAGACGTGCTCCCGAACGAGGAACATGTCTGTGGCACAACAATGCAGACACTTGTCGCGTGACAGACGCACCTTCAGACTGCGCACTTTCTGGACATGGTTGTGTCAACGGTTGTGTAGTGTGATCTCGCCTGTTCGAAGCGTCTGAACTGTAGTGAACGTTGGTTGCCTTGGTTCTTGTCCACTACAGTGAATATATAGTCTGAGCACATGCCTCGATCACGATCGTGTTCCGCGCTACAGAAGTTTTTTTTATTTTTTTTTCAATTCTCGCTTCTCAGTTTCTTCGCAAGTCTGAAATCGCTTATCACTATCACCCACCATATTTTACCCACGCTAACCACATAGGTCGCAGTCCTGCTCCATTTATTCTCATTAAAGCCGTTTACAATTTTTTCGGGAGTGGCGCAATTAAGTTCCCGCTTCGGATACGCAATGTTTTCTCTGGTCAAGCCCTCAATTCCCATTAACTCATACAATATTAATTTTTAAAATATTCATGGAGCAGTTAGCATCAGGAGAAGCCTGATTCATTGATTCAACACTAAAGCGACAAACATACATGTTGTATATGCATGAATTAATTATGCATATATATTGCGAAGATATATGCACGTTTTTTTTGTTTTTCACTTCGCAATGCAGATCACTCCATTCGTATTCTCTAAATTTACATGTCTCGGCAGTATGCAGGAAATAGAAAATAGCAGCATAGAGAGAGAGAGCATTCTAGGTTATGCAGTTTGCCACTTGGTAGATATTGCCATGTATACAGTACACATTGCATCTCAGCATAACTGAAATGAGTTGGTAGTTGGGAGGCCAAGTTCATTTTTGTTCCATGAGAGATATTATTGAACCTGCCTCTGCACATAACCCGAACCCACAAAAATACCCCAGTTCCCTAGAGTAAACCTCAAGAAAAATATTTTGCCCTCGAATGTGGTCGCTCTTGCCACCTACCTGC